GGCGGGGCCGTAGATACAGCTCCCTAGGGGGCCACGAAACGTGTGAGAGGTCTGCCTGAAATGGGACGGGGCCGCATGCGAGCGCAACCACCGGGGCCGTCGGTAGAGATCCCCATGGGGCCACGAAACGTGCATGTGAGGGGTCTGCCGAAAATGAGGCGGAGCCGCATGCGAACGCAGCAGTTGGGACCCTCGGTGGAGCTCCCCATGGAGCCACGAAAAGTGTGAGGGGTCTGTCGAAATGGGGCGGGGCCGCATGCGAACGCAGCCACTGGGACTGGGGCCTTCGGTGGAGCTCCCTATGGGGCCACGAGACGTGTGAGTGGTCTGCCGAAATCGGGCGGGGCCGCATGCGAACGTAGCCACTGGGGCCTTCGTTGGAGCTTCCTCTGGGGGCACGAAACGTGTGAGGTGCCGGTTGACATGCGAAGAGGGAAGAGGATGATGTTGATAATGAGGAACGAGGAGGAAGAGGAGGAGGAGGAGGAGGAGGAGGAGGAGAAGTAGGAGGAGGGAGGAGCAGGAGGAGGAGCAGGAGGAGGAGGAGGAGGAGGAGGAGGAGGAGGAGGAGGAGGCGCGCGGGGGGCAGAGGAGCAGGAGGGCAGGATCTCACTGCGCCGCCTCCTGCCCCCCACGTTCCCTCCTCGTCCCCCCCCCTCCCCCGCGCCCCCCCGCAGCCGCTGCTGCTAGCGCTCCTCCTCGGTCCACGTCTATTGCCAGCACCACGAATGAGACACAAGTTTGGTGGTTTGGGGAGGAGGAGGAATAGGAAGAGGAGGAGGACGAGGAGGAGGAGGAGGAGGGACGGGGACAAGGACGAGGACGAGTAGGAGGAGGAAGAGGAGGAAGAGGAGGAGGAGGAGGAGGAGGAGCAAAGGGAGGAAGAGGAGAAGGAGAAGGAGGAGGAAGAGGAGGAGGAGAGGAGGAGCAGCAGGAGAGAGGTGGACGAGGAGGAGGAGGAGCAGCAGCAGCAGCAACAGCAGCAGCAGAAGAAGCACCAGCAGCACGAGGAGGAAGAAGAGGAGCATGAACAGGATGGTGCTGATCATGATGAATGTGATGAGGATGATGATGATGGTGATGATGGTAATGCTGTGCTGTTGTGATGATGCTGTTGTCGATGCTGATGACGATTGCAATGATGATGCTGACGATGTTGATGATGACGATGTTGATGATGGTTACGAGGTGGAATACGACAATGATGATGGTGGTGATTATGATGGTGATGCAGAAGATGATGACGGTGACGATTGTGATGATGGTGATGTTGCTGATGCTGGTACTGATGATAATGATGATGGTGCTGCTGATGATGATGGCGATGACGATTATGATGATGAGTATGATGATGATGAGGAGGAGGATGAGGATGCTAATGCTAATGCTGATGATGCTGATGATGCTGATGGTGATGATGCTGATGGTGATGATGCTGATGCTGATGCTGATGCTGATGATGATGATGATGATGATGATGATGATGATGATGATGATGATGATGATGATGATGATGATGATGATGATGATGATGATGAGCAGAGAGGAGGAGGAGGAGGAGGAGGAGGAGGAGGAGGAGGAGGAGGAGGAGGAGGAGGAGGAGGAGGAGGCGGGGGAGGAGGAGGAGGAGGAGGAGGAGGAGGTGGAGGAGGAGGAGGAGAAGGAGGAGGAGAAGGAGAAGCAGGCGGATATGGAGGAGGAGGAGGAGGAGGACGAGAGAAGGGATGGGGGATGAGGGTCAGGACCTCCTGGAGGGTGCTCCACCAGAGGGTCACGCGGCTCGGGCTGAGGGCCAGCAGCTGCACGGCCCTGCGGAACGCAGGCGCCGAGAAGCCGACCAGCACCTCTTCCAGGACGGGAGGCCCGGCGCCTCTCCTCCGCGGCGCGAGAGAGCGCGAGAGCTGGGCCGGCGCAGCGGCTCCGGCGCGCGAGGGCTCTGAGCGGTGAGGCGCCCGCAGGAGAGCCGGGCCAGCAGTCTCGCCCAATCCACTTCGCGCTGCAAGAGGGCAGGGCGTGGAGGCGTGCCCTGCCTTCCATGCCTTCCCTTCCAGGCCTTGCCCTCAGTTGCCCCCTCTTCCTCTGCTTGTCTTCCTCCCGGCTCCTCCTCCCGACGTTCTCCAGCCACGGTGAATGGATTGCTTGGCCGTCGAGGCCATTCCATACGGGTCTGTCCAACAACAGTTTGGCAGGCCAGGGGATGGGAAAAAAAGAAGGCAAGGCATGGAAGCACGATCCGGCCTATGCTGCGCACCAGCTGCCATTCAGAGCCTGGGCCAGAGCAGTGTGCGGCAGCTTCAGGTCAGATGGCGGCTTTCAAGGGAGCCGCCGGCAAGCAAGTGATGGCACGGGCCGAAGTCGCTGGGCACGCCAGCGCAGTGCGCCGTCCGCTGAAACGTATCGGCTGGGTGCATAATATATCCTGGGACGTCTGGCGCGATGACCGAGGACAGATTGTACAGCTGCGGGAGCTCGGCCCACGCACGGTGGCGAGCCTGGTGGAGACAGGGGCGTACCGATACCTGAGGCGGGAGGTGGGGAGGTGGCCAAGCACCCTGGCTTCGAGCAGCTGGGGGGCAGGTCGCCCGACCCCGAGCCCTTCCGCTACGCTTTGATGGAGCTGCGCAGACAAGGCAAGACCGAGGAGGTACGCCCGCTGGAGGCCCACGTCGCGGGAGGGCTCGTAACTCAGAAGGACTTGTTCGAGCGCGGTACTGAGCTCCGCTTGTCAGTGGTGCTGCTGCTGCTGCTGTTCCTCCTCCTCCTCCTCCTCCTCCTCCTCCTCCTCCTCCTCCTCCTCCTCCTTGCTCCCCCTCCTCCTCCTCCTCCTCCGCCTCCTCCTCCTCCGCCTCCTCCTCCTCCTCCTCCTCCTCCGATTCCTCATCCGCCAGTTAGGTGGCTCCCCAGCGAGGCCCCGCGCAGCCGCAAGGCTGCGGAAGGAAACCCTCGCCATCGCTTGTTCACCTGTCTTGCCATCCAGTCGTGGGCTCAAGAGTTGGGCTGCCAACGCGTGGCGATTGCAGGAAGATCGGCACCCGACAACGACCGGGGGATGACCCGAGGCTTGCTGAGCTTGCGCTTCGCAGAGGCACCGCCACCTAGCATGATCGAGCATTGCTACCGTGCGGGGGAGGCCAGGGACGGTTTCCTCGCTGGAGTGATTTGCATTGATGGCTCAGCGGCTTGCCCCGAGCTTGCCAGGTTGACGAGAACAGGATGGGCAGCGGTCATAGGTCGATGGCGTAGGCCAGGCCCCTGGAGGGATGCACGGTTGCACACATGGTTGGATCCATGCGATTGGATATGCAGAGTTGCATGCGCTACGCCCAGTTCTCGAAGAGGTGGGACCCCGCATCTACACGGATGGCAAAGGCGTTCGTGATGACTACATATTAGGGGCGTCCCACTGCTGCAGTACCGATCATAAGTATACGAAGATGTGGCGATATAGTTTCAGGATGCTCGACGAGATTGGCCAGGAGTCAATCGACCTGTGGTGAGTCCTCGCCCACAGAGGCCGGGCCGAAGCGCGTCGCCGTGGCACGGCCTTCGACGCTTTCGCGGGCCACAGGGCTTGCGGACGAGAAGGCGCAGCTGGGCGCAGGGCTGCGCCCAGGCTGGCACAGGGCGAAGGAGCTGGAAGAGAGCCGGGAGACGGCCGCGATCTCGGCACGCGGGCGGTGCGTCCACCACGGCAGCATCTTGAAAAGGCACGCTGGCGCGCCCTGGGCCGACCGGGAGCCCCTTCCCCAGACCCCGCCCCCGGAGCTCCTTAGGGGCCTGGTGCTGATGTCGATCCCTTCGGCCCAGGGGCACCACACTCGGAGGCTCGGGCGGGCCCGGGGGTGCGAGGTCTGCGGGGCACGAGGTGCTCTCAGGTCCAGGCGTGTGTTGCGACCGTGCCCTGGACTCCGTCAGGTAGTTGCCCAGTCCCGCCAGTCCCACAGGGCTTTGGGTGATCCGCGGGGCGGGGGACGGGCCTGGTGTGGGAGCCTTTTTATTGGGGGGGGGACATCACCGTTGTCTGTCGCACGTGCGGGGCTTACAGTCGGAGACCGGCCCTCCCCTTGTGCGACCCGTGTGTTCCCCTGGCCCAGGGAGAGCTGCGCGGCGGCCGGGCTGGCGCGAGGTGTTCTGGGCAGACTCCGAGGAGGGGGATGGGGACCCCGTCTGGCCGATGTTCGGGCCTCCCGCTCCTCGTGTCCAGGGCCTGCCCACGTGGTTCGTTTTGTGTACCGTCAGGCTGTCGGAGCTTTTCGCCAGTCACTTTCTTTTTCTGGCTCCATCTCCTGGCTTGCCTGAGGGTTGATCCCTTTTTCAGGGTGCGGGTAAGACTGCAGCGCGGCCCGCCTTCTTGTAGGAACTCGAGAAACTAGAGGGGGATGAGGGTGGAGGGAGGGAGGCGGTGGCCGAGGAGCAGGACGAAAAGGAGGATGAAACGGAGGAGGAGGGGGAGGGGGATGAGGAGGAGGAGGAGGAGGAGGAGCAGGAATAGCGAGAATCGGAGGAGGAGGAGGAGGCGGTGGAGGTGGAGGAGGAGGAGAACCCTCCTGGGAATGCCTTTCCTTCCAGGTCCAGGGGTAATCTTCAACATGTGTTTTACGCTGGCCCGAAATTATTCCTGGTGCCCCAACTTCCTTGCCCTGGGACGCCACCAGTTAACTCTTTGGGCGGGTGGCCAGACCTTCTGCGGAGCGTCAGCGGATCACAGGGGGAGGACCTGGCAGCATCGTGTCTCTCTTGCTCCTCGGCAGAGCAGGGGGAGCAGGGAGACAGACCGGGAAGAAGGGGGGGCGGGGGGGAGGAGGCATGCGAAGGCAAAGCAGGGGGAGCAGGGGGCATGAGAACGAAGAGGAGCCTGGTCAGGTGGACTGGCCCGTCAGTCATCTGTGCGAGATTCGGAGTTTACATGCGTGAAGCCTGGCGTGATGTGACACCTCTTGCTTCGCTGATCGCGTGGTGGAGGAATAGGAGCAGGGATGTGGAGGCAACCTACCCCGCAGGCCAATGGCATCTTCGGCATCCTTGGTGCGCACACGCTGCTGAGGACGCTGTTCCAACCCTCCGCCTCACCTTCATTCTCCACTTGCTCCTCTCTGTCACGTTCTGTGGACTCTTAGGGCTTGCCCGTCTCGAAATATTTCAGTTTCGAGAGGCCTTGGTAGGTCAACGTTCACGCCCACCGTGTCCCCACCAGCCCATCCAGAGGCAAGTTTCAGGCACTCGGGTCATTCTGTGAGGGATTTCGGCGCCATCTTGAGGGTCTCTCGGAGCGCAGGCGCCAGGTCAGCCACCAATCGAACCCAAAGCGGACTCCGACGTCCGAAAATGCTGAGCTTGATTGTACCTGGTGCCGTTGCAGCGGCCCTTGCAACGGACAATTGTGTTTTCATGGTGCCATCTGGGGCGTGGTGCTCTGTGAAGTCAGCCGTGTTTCCTTTGCGGTTCCGTCGATTATGCTGCCTCCTTCGCGAGACAGAATGGTGGGCTCTGGCGTGCGATGAATGTCACTACGAGCAGTCTTGGCCTCGCAAAAGCATTTTTCGGCCCGCAGCGCAGGCGTTGCAGCGCCTCCGCCCACGCGAAGCGTCCCACGGGGCCCCGCTCGCCCCGCGCGCGCGCGCGTGCGGAGCGGCCGGATACATACTTCGTCCCCTCGTTCTGGCCTTGAGCTCGGGCATGGCTGCTGCAGCCCCCTGGCTCGGTATCGTTTAGCCGATCCCCATCCCCTATTAGCCTATCCCCTATCCCCTTCGAGACCCCCGCCAACTTACCACCCCAGTTGGGGATACACCCCTCGTAACCCGAAGGGAGCGGCCTCCATCCCCATCCAGGGGGAAGACTCGGCCAGCGGGGCCCAGGCCACGCCGCTGGGGATGTGGATCGGTCAGACGATACTCACTGGCGGCCACCACCACAAGTAGTAGGGGGAGAGGGCCCTCCTCCTCCTCCTCCTCCTCCTCCTCCTCGCCCTCCTCTTCGCCCTCCTCTTCGTCCTCCTCTTCGTCCTCCACCTCCTTCCCCCCTCCAACTCGTGGTCGTGGTGGTGGAAGACGGGCCCATCATGGCCTTGAGCCTGGGCGTGGCTGCTGCAGCCCCCTGACCGCCCACGTGCCACGGTCGACCTGCGGCCCTCTCGGCGCGCCGCACGGCCTCCGCGAGCGGCCCCGCCCCTCCTGCAGAGCAGCCGCGCTGCGGCCGCGCGTCCGCCCCGAGGCGAGCAGATGCTCGGCGTGGTTCCGGACGGAAGCCAAACGATCTCAAGGGCGACCTCGTCTGAGATGGAGAGATTCGTTGGATGCGTGAGCGGCCTTCCATGCACGCGTTTCACTTGATGCATTTTCCTAATTGCCATGCGCGCGTCTGCCCCTCAGGGGACCGCTCCGGCTACCGGAGCCGGCACGCAGACTTCCTGCCCTGTCCACCCCAACATCGGAGGTTGGGGGTCGAGGTCGCAGTGGAACGGAGACCCCCAACCGGGAAGTCGTTTCGTTTCGTTCTCGCGTCGCGCGTGCGGGCGAGGCAAAAGCTGCGTGGGCGCGCGAGAGGAAGGAGCCCGCCGCTGCCAGGGCGAAGTCGAGACAAAGGATTCTCCCCCGTCCGTCCGTCCGTCCGGCGGTGGCCCGCGGTGTCCCGCGGTGTCCCGTGGTGTCCCGTGGTGCCCGCCGTTGCTAGGGCGAAGTCAAGACAAATGATTGTCCCCCGTCCGTCCGTCCTTCCATCCGTCCGACGGTGGCCCTAGCGGTGTCCCGCCGTTGTCCCATGGTGTCCCGGGGTGTCCGCCGTTGCTAGGGCGAATTCAAGACAAATGATTCTCCCCCGCACGCCCGTCCGTCCGGCGGTGGCTCGCGGTGTCCCGCGGTTTCCTGTGGTGCCCCGAGGTGTCCCGTGGTGTCCCGTGGTGTCCCGTTGAGTGAGATCGATAGTGAGATCGATCGTGAGATCGATAGTGAGATCGAGAGGTGTCCCGCTGTATCCCGTGGTGTCCCGTGGTGGCCCGTAGTGTCCCGTGATGTCCCGTTGAGTGAGATCGATAGTGAGATGGATAGTGAGATCGACAAGTGTCCCGCGGTGTCCTGCGGTGTCCCGTTGAGTGAGATCGATTGTGAGACCGATTGAGTCAGATGTTGGTGCCCCCCCGCTCCCCCCCCACAACCTCCTTATCACCCGACTGGTGGTCGTACAGGTACTTCTCCTATATGTGTGCGTCGCCCCCCCCCCAGGGTCGACGCGCGCACCGAGAAATCTTACAGGACATGCGCCGTTGCGGGCGCTTTTTGGCCGCACCGTGGTGTCCCGTGGTGTCCCGTGGTGTCCGCGGTTGCTAGGGCGAAATCAAGACAAATGATTCTCCCCCGCCCGCCCGTCCGTCCGTCCGTCCGGCGGTGGCAGGTGGCTATATGTGTGCGTCGCCCCCCACAGTACATGCGTCGTTGGGGCGCTTTGTGGCCACATCGCTCGAGAAACGATATGCTACAAGAGGTGGGTACCTACTCCGTGTTCGGGTCGGGCGCGTGCCTCCGAGGCGGAGATGTAGTATTCGTCGGAGGTTTAGGGATGAGATATCGCAGTGGAGGTTTAGGGAGGTTTAGGGATGAGATATCGGAGGTTTAGGGATGAGATATCGGAGGTTTAGGGATGAGATATCGGAGGTTTAGGGATGAGGCGGAGATATAGTATTCGTCGGAGGTTGAGGGATGAGATATCGCAGTGGAACGGAGACCCCCAACCGGGAAATCGTTTCTTTTCGTTCGTGTCGCGCGTGCGGGCGAGGCGAAGCTGCGTGGGCGCGCGAGAGGGATGAGCCCGCCGTTGCCAGGGCGAAGTCGAGACAAATGATTCTCCCCCGTCCGTCCGTCCGTCCGGCGGTGGCCCTGGCGGTGGCCCTAGCGGTGTCCCGCGGTGTCCCGTGGTGTCCCGTGGTGTCCGCCGTTGTTAGAGCGAAGTCGAGACAGATGATTCTACCCCCTCCGTAAGTCAGTCAGGCGGTGGCCCGCGGTGTCCCGCGGTGTCCCGTGGTGTCCCGTGGTGTCCTGTGGTGTCCGCCGTTGCTAGGGCGAAGGCAAGGCAAGTGATTCTCCCCCTTCCGCCCGTCCGGCGGTGCCTCGCGGTGTCCCGCGGTGACCCGTGGTGTTCTGCGGTGTCCCGTGGTGTCCGCGGCTGCTAGGGCGAAATCAAGACAAATGAGATTCCCCCGCCCGCCCGTCCGTCCGTCCGTCCGGCGGTGGCCTGCGGTGTCCCGCGGTGTCCTGTGGTGTCCCGTGGTGTCCCGTGGTGTCCCGTGGTGTCCCGTTGAGTGAGATCGATATTGAGATCGGTACTGAGATCGATTGTGAGATCGGTACTGAGGTCGATGTGGTGCCCCGAGGTCTCCCGTGGTGTCCCGTGGTGTCCCAAAAAGTAAGATGGATAGTGAGATCGACAGGTGTCCCGTGGTGTCCCGTTGAGTGAGATCGATACTGAGATCGATACTGAGATCGATGTGGTGCCCCGAGGTGTCCCGTGGTGTCCCGTGGTATCCCAAAAAGTGAGATAGATTATGATATCGACAGGTGTCCCGTGGTGTCCCGTGGTGTCCCGTTGAGTGAGATCGATAGGGAGATCGATAGTGAGATTGATAGTGGCCCGAGGTGTCCCGTGGTGTCCTATGGTGTCCCGTTGAGTGAGATCGATAGTGAGATCGATAGTGAGATCGGTACTGAGATCGAGAGGTGTCCCGCGGTGTCCCGTGGTGTCCCGTGCTGGTCCGTGGTGTCCCGTGATGTCCCGTCGAGTTAGATCGATAGTGATATCGATCGTGAGATCGACAAGTGTCCCGGGTTGTCCCGTGGTATCCCGAGGTGTCCCGTTGAGTGAGATCGATAGTGAGACCGATTGAGTCAGATGTTGGTTCCCCCCCTTCTCCCCCCCCACAACCTCCTTATCACCCGAAGGGTGGTCGTATAGGTATATTTCTATGCGCCCCAGATCTTCCTCTCTGTCGCCGCCGCGCCCTCCGCGCAGGCGTTGCAGCTTTCCGCTCCCCCCCCCCCGCATTCTGCCAACGCTAGCCTGCGGCGCTGCTGCGCCCTCCTTGGCCACCCACACGCCCGTGTTGACGAACGATCAACACGCAGCCACACGCATAGGGGGGACGAACTGAGCTACGGGTACGCGTTGTCGGGTGGGGGTCCCCGCTCGAACGCGAGCCTCCCCAGGGGTCCAGCAACCCGCACCCATACCCATAGCCAGTCCTTCTCCCTCCGACCTCCCTATGGGTATGGTAAAACAGGGCTAGGATCGGGATAAATCGCTCCAGAGCGTTCCGGAGCGCTCTCAGAGCGTTCCGGAACGCTCTGGAGCGGCCGCGGCGCCCAATACATCCTCCAAACCCGCCGATTCTCAGAGATTTCGAGTTATCCCGATCCGATTTTGTCCCGATCTTCGCGTCGTTTTATCTCCCTCCGACCTCCCTATGGGTATGTGTGTGTGTTGTTCGTTCGTCCCGTGTCAAGCGCGGCTGTCTGAGTGCGTGGCGCGGCCCCCGCGCGCGGCCCTGTGCTTCCTTCTGGGTCCCGCGCTTCGGCGGGGCCCTCGCCCCGAGACTGAGGCCCCCCTGCGCAGCGAACAGGGGCCTTCTCACCAATGATCATTTCTCCTCCTCCTCCTCCACCCCTTCGTCCTCTTCCTCCCCCTCCTCCCCCCCATCCCTTTTGATTCGAAATGTCTCCTCCCTCTCGCACCCCATGTCGGTAGGGCGGGCCGGGCGTTTCGCCTGAGATTTCCTCAGGGTTGTGATTCTCACACTTCGAATTGCAAGAGCTTCACGGATGGAGGGCGGACCGTTTACAACATGTGGTTCTCGCCTTAGCTCATTGCACATCCGTTTGAAAAATGCACCAGGGTTTCACGGATGGAGGGCGGGCCGTTTTCAAAATGGGACGCCAAATGTGGTTCTCGTGTTAACGCCGCGCGCATTCGTTTCAAAAGTTTGCACGAGCTTCACGGATTGAGGGCCGCTTCTTTTCAACATGTGGCACCTTGGCGCCACGCACACTCGCCTTAACAGTTTTTACTATTTCAAGGGATCTCCAAGCTGACGTCTCAGAAATTGCGTTCTGGCGCGGCTTGGGATTGTCAGGTGCAACGGTCACGTTGGTTCGTGGTTTTGAAGTCTCAGGAATGGCGCTTTGGCACGATCCCGGCTCGTCAGGACGCAAATGTAATGTTGACTCGCGGCGTTGAAGTTCCAGGAATGGTGGCTTGGCTTAGTTGATGATTAGAACGAAGGTACTATGGTGAGGTGATGGTATGTGGAAAAATTTCAATGTAGCCGTAAAGTCGGTTATGAAGTAGTTAAACAACAGCATCGGTTCGACATATGTAAGTTATATGACATCATGCTATAAAGTGTAAGCGCTCAAACGCAAGCGGTGTTTGCGGCGTTCAGCGAGTGCCTTGCTGGGAAAGCCGATTGTCATGGCAGCTCAGGGCGTCCTGCAGCGGCGCGCTGGATCGGCTTCCCTGCTTCGGTTTTGGGGTCTCTCGCCGCGGGGGCGCGCCATGAATTGGCGCGGCGCGGGGCCTGGCGTCGCCCGCGCGCTTCCAACAAATTATTGGCGAAGGGCCCGCCCATTTGCAGTTCTGATCACAGTTTCTGGTGGAATCTCTTTGGGGGCCAGGGAGCGCGTGACAGGGGCGCGCCGACATGAGCCAGGGCCGCCGCGCGAGCGGTGCCAGCGGGGTCAAGGCTTTCAACTCAGCTTCCTGCGGGGCCACGACACGCGTGAAACTTGCGCAAATCTGACGCGCCCAGCCGCTGCCGCTAGGGCCTTCGGCGGGGCGCCTCGTCGAGCCGCGAACTGCGCGAGGGTTCTGCAGGTGCCGCGCGCGGCCGCCGCCCCTGGGGCTTTCGGTGAAGGCCCCCATGTAGCCACGACGCGCGCGAGTGGTGCCCCAGAACGCGCGCGGCCGCTGACGCTAAAACCTTTGGCGGGTTTCCTCATTCGGGCCATCGAACGCGCGAGGGATGCGCGAGTGCCGCGCGCGGCTGATGCCGCTGGAGCCTTTGATGCTTTGATGGAGCCCGGGGAGTGCAAGTGCCGCGCGCGGCCGCTGCTACGGCGGCCTCGACGGAGTCGCCACGAGGGGCCATGAAGCGTGCGATGGGGCGTGCAAGTAGGGCGCGCAGCCTCTGCCACTGCGGCTTTCGGTTGGGCAGATACTCGAGGGGCCTGCGAGCACCGCGCGCGGCCGCCACCATCGGGGGCTTCGGTGGGCCCCCCATCAGGGTCGACGGCTGGAGCCCCCTTCGGGGCCGCGACATCTTTTCGCAGGGTCATTGCCCTTGAGGCACCGCCTCACGTCGGCGAAACTGTCTCGGGTACATTGCCGCGGGGGGGGCGCGGCGCAGACGTCGTCTGCTGAGCCGCGCGGCCGCGCCCCTCGCCTGGCGTTTCGCCCCCGCCCGCTCCCCCGCCCGCCTCGCGCCAGGAGGCGGCCAGGCCCTCATCCCAAGGGTGCACGGGGCAGGGGGAGGGCAAGGCCCCTTGGGGCAGCCGCATTCCGTCGCGGGCCTCCCGGGGGCGTCGCGCCATTCCAGTTCGTTCCCGCCGGCTGCCCCGGGGAACAAGTCATTTCGCTTTTTTGTTTCTTGCATTTTCACCGACCGGGGCGGGCCGAATTATGTTTCGCGCATGTATAATGCATTTATTGCGGAAAATAGGCGCCTCCCCGGCCGCTTATTTTCGACGCATTTGCCGCGTATTTGTCGCGCATCAAAACGCAACAATGAACGAAACATGTGCGACAAATGCGCGGGCGGAGTCGGTGGGCGTGTCGCCTACGCCGGCCGCCTAATTTTTACTTCTTTCGAACGGGCGCACCGAATTCCCCCGAGGATTGCGAATGCGGGGCTTATTTTGGCTTTGATTTCTTTTGGTATTTCGATTGGGGCACCTCAAACGCACCAAAACAAATCGCGGCCGCCCAGGGGCCGCGCCGATCGAGACTCCGCGGCGATAGTGCCGGCGTCTGGCCCGGAGCCTAGGGGGGTTCTCTCGCCGCCCTGGGTCGCGGTGGCCATCTAGCAGCAATGTAGGGGGCCCTCGAATTTGCTGCCCGAGGCGCTGGCGCAATCGGCGCGGGCTGGGCCGGGCGCGAGCGGCGCCGTGGATGATTGGGGTGGCCGCGGGGGGTCGCGGCGCAGACGGCCAGGGGGAACAAAGGGGTTAATTCGAGAGGGCTGCGGGCAGGACGAAGAGCGCGCGAGGGGGAAGGGGGGGGGGGGCGCGATCGGAGGGGGAGGGGGGGGGGTGGGAGGGAGGGGGGTGGGGCAAGCTAGGTGCGCTCGCGTCATATATGACATCCTACGCCTCCCTCCCATTCCTTACCATGGCGTAGATCCCCTCTCTACTCGCACAGCCGGATGTCGAGCAGGGCAATGATCCCGAAAGGGTACGCGATGCATTGTAGAGCACGGCATGGCATGGCGTAGAAGAGCACCGCAAAGCGTAGTATCAACCTAGCAGGTGGGGAGAAGGGGCGAAGAGCAGGGAGGTCCGCGTCGTCGGTGGCAGTCTGGGGGGCGTTCTTGCTGGCTCACTCACAAGTCGCAGCGGCGGCAGCCGCGCGGGCCGCGACGGCGTGCTCTTGACGTCGTTGGTGCGCGGGGGCACGCAGGACGTTTTGCCATCGGCGTTCGCGCGATGACGGTGCAGTAGCCATAACAGAGTTTGGATCGCAGGAGTGTAGGGTGGCCCGTGGCCCCTTTCGGTGGCGAGCCGTCGCCCCGAGGGCCCGTTTTCAGCGGCCCCACCGAGGCTGTTCTAGCCGCCGCCCCCATTCAAGTTCCAGTCGCCCCCCCTTCCGTCCTTTGCGCCCCCTCTTCGCCCAGTGTTATTATCCAGGCAATGTCGCGCGCCTGCCCCGTCTCCTTCTCCTCGCGCGCTGCTTTTTCCGGCCCCGTCTTCGTTTTCGTGGCGCCGTCGTTCTTGTCAGCGGCTGCGCTGCTGGTCCTGCCCCCTCGCCTGCCTTCCCCCGCATCGCCGCCGCCGCTGCCGTCGCAGATGCGGCATCGGAGATGTGCGGATTCGGTGGGGTTGCGTCGTCGACTCGCAAGCGAGGCGTTCGAGTTGTCCGCGGTGGATCGCCCCTGGGCGAGCGCGCGCAGTTGCGTTTCGCGTGTGCCGCGTGCCACTGCGCTAAATCCAGCGAGAAGCTTCTGCGTAATTACGCAGCGGATACATACGTTTCACTAATTTCGCAGCGCTCATTTGTCTTACATTCTTCATGCACGTTAATCTTTTCCTGGGTTCCCAGACTGTCCATGAGTAGTTGCCTTACAAGTTGATGATTTCCAGACGGTTGTCGTCCAACGGCGCTTTTCCCGCGGTGAAGCTGATGCCTCTTTGTAGGCCGTCGGGGCTTATGAGAAATAGAATGAATGGTGCAGCATCGTTGATGCACGTTGGGTTGACATTGGTTTTCCTCATCGTCCTAACCCTCCATGACATCGCCGCCCTCTCCTTCTAATTCGTCAGTCCCGCCCCCCTCTCCCAACCTCCACTCTTAGCGCCCCCCTTGCCTTGCAACTTGGCCTTCTCCCTCCGTTTCCTCCGCGTGCTTTGGCTCCTCCGCCTCCTCCGCTTCCTCTCCCTCCTCTTCGCCCTCCCCCCCCGCCCCCTCAAGCGCGCGCGTTGCCGAGGACGCTCTTCGCAGACAAGGAGCACGTGAATTCCGACGTGTCCGCGGGGCCTCCGGCACAGTTCCGCCGCCCTTGCCGCGGCAGCAGCAGCAGCAGCAGCAGCAGCGCCACCGCCGAACTAGCAACAGGAATCGAGCAGCAGTGGCAGCGGCAGCGGGATTGTCCACCCTCGTCTTGAGCAGATGGCTCGATCGTCCTCCATCGCCCGATGAGGGCAACGTATCAAGGGTAACTTGTGAGCGCGGAGGGCTGCAAGCGAATAGGGGGGCGGGCGAGGGAATAGTGTCAGGACAGATGACAGGGCTAGCGATCAGCGCGCGGGACGGATGGGCGGAGTTTCGAGAAAAACCAGGCCCAGACGCGGTGGCCGCCCTGGACGGGGCCAGGGCAGCGGTTTCTCGATCTGCTTGTCGACGGAGGCACGGCCAGCGGTGAGCGCGGCGACGACCGAGCGAGCCCATTGCCCTTGCATTCCCTCCTCCTGCCCCCCTCCCCACCATAACCCATTCGAGGCAGCAGTTGAGCAAGATTGGCTCCTCAATTGGGAACCGCGAGCATTTCCGTACGGGGTGGCGAGCGCGAAATCAGCGTCCGGCGACAGAGTTGGTTAATGAATGCCGCTTGGCATCGTCCGTGGGGTTGGCCTGGTTGTCTCACGGGCAATAATCTGTCGATTCGTCGCTTCAACGTTCGGTTGACCATTACGTCGGAGGACGCTTGGTGTGATCTGCCAGTGGAGCGCTCCAGCGACCAGTTGACGGCACGGGCCTGATGGCTGCACTTTGATCAGGCGGCTTGGCCGCTCAAGCATGGCAGCGGCCATGGCCGATGGTGATGCTGGCCGAGTTGGCGCCCATCATCAGCCCAGAGGCAGCGAGCAGGGCCTGTCGCTGGGCTTCCCAGCACGCTCGGCGGGCCGTGGCCCGCCCGGTGGGACGCTCGCCGGCGAGGTGGCGCGGCTCGTCTCTCGATGGCACGAACGTCGAGGGAGCCAGGACACATGCGGTCGGGATTTTTGGTTCAGCGTGTCGCTCTGCCGTGACTGGCCCACCGCGTGCGTCGGCGCGATACGCTATCCACTCCCCGGTCCCATCGAGGCAACGTCCCCAGCCTTGCCCGGCCTCCCGCCCCGCGGCGGGGAGCAGCACCTTTTCCAACCTCCCAGGGCCTAGCGTGTCGCCAGGGCCGCCGCCGCGACACGCTGAGCAGAAGCTCCTGGCCGTAGGCCGCTCCAGAAGGGCCCTCACCTTCCGCGCGTCTCTCAGGAGCGAAAGAAGGACGCACATGTACATGAAGCCACGCTGGTCTCGAGAGCTCGCATTGCACAAATGTTCGTATAACGCGGCCGGTCTCGCGAATCGAGGGGCCGTGCTCATGCACATAGCTGGGCGCGTGCGTCCTCTGTTGGTTCCGCGCGTCTCGCCCGCGGCGGAAGCTGGCGGGAGGCTGGCGCGTGTCGGCGGCGGCGGGGCCCGCCGGCGGAAGGCTGGCGGGAGGCAGCGGGAGCAAACGCGGGCGACAGAGCGTGCGCGCACGACGCCGTTCACTTTGTACGCCAGAAATGGGTACAGGAGGAGGAGGAGGAGGAGGAGGAGGAGGAGGAGGAGGAGGAGGAGGAGGAGGAGGAGGAGGAGGAGGAGGAGGAGGAGGAGGGGGAGGAGGAGGAGCAGGGAGGAGGAGGAGGAGGGGTTCGGAGAGAATGGGTACAATGCCCAGCAGCAGTTCCTGTTCCTTTTGAGCAGGACTCGCCGTCCGCGACGCCGCGGCCTGCCTCCGGCCGCTGCTGGTTTGGGACAACATTTGTCGTTGGGCATTGTACCCATTCTTTCCGTGCCCGTTTCGGGCGTCCAAGTTCACGGGCCTCCTGCCCCGGCCACATACGGAGCCCGACACCGCCCGCACGGGGATCCGGCAGAGGCATTGGTGCCACTCCGTGCCTGGAGTTCAGGCCTGGCGGCTGCCGTCGAGATCGACTGCTTGATTGCTTGACTTGCTTCGCTGTCGCCTCTTTGCTGCTGTCGCCTCTTCGCCTCGCCTCCTAGATCTCAGGGAGGAGGCGGTTCGGGTTGCCTGCAGATGCCGATCGGCGTGTCTGGCCGTTTCTTGCACGGACACGTGTTCTGGTTTCAGCGTGGTGCGACCGTTGATTTGGTGTGCCCGCCGTGATCCCAAACCCTGGGTTGTCATCACCACTGTTCGCCATCATACATCGCAGTGATCGTCACCATCGTGGGTATACTCGTCGCGCTATCGTCTTCATCAGCATTCACCATGAGCTTCCTCCTGATATTCCTCTTCTTCGTCCTCGCCCACCCTGTCCCAATGCTGCTCCTATTCCCCCCTCTTCTCCTTTTTTTTTCTCCTCCTCCTCCTCCTCCTCCTCCTCCTCCTCCTCCTCCTCCTCCTCCTCCTCCTCCTCCTCTCCCCCCCTCCGGAGGCCCTGGAAGTCAGAAAAACGTCCAACTGACCTGGACATCCCTCATATCTCCTTCTCCCCCACCTCGTTCTGCCTCCGCTCCCCTTCCGCAGCCAGCCGTCTGAACTCGAGGAATCTTGCCGACCCAGGAGCTCAGGAGGAGCCGAGCCAGTGCCAGCTGGTGTTGGTACAGCGGCAGTGCCGGCTGGCGAGGGCCGCCGGGCGGGGGGCATGGCTTCCGGATCCCAGGGCAGCCGAAGCCACAACGAGCATAGCGAGATTCGGAGCCTTGCCCCCACCCATCTCCCCCCCCCCGTGCCCTGTAAATCCTCCGCCTGCTGGTGCTCCTTCCCCAACTCCTCCTCCTCCTCCTCCTCCTCCTCCTCCTCCTCCTCCTCCTCCTCCTCCTCCTCCTCCTCCAGCCCTCCTCCCTGGGAAAGCGGGGGAACATGTAGGGAGAGGGCGAGGAGGGGAATCGAAGGGATCGGAGAAGGAGGAGGAGGAGGAGGAGGGGGGGAAGAGGTGGGTGCGGAAGGCTGCGAGGAGGAGACCGAATCTCGCTATCCGATGGCGCTCGCTGCCCTTAGGATGGGTCGCTGCCATGGACTCGAAGTACCTTTCCGGAATCGGCCTGCCTTTCGGGGCTCCCGTGGTGCAGTTGGGGCTCCCCGAAGACGGAGCCTAAGAAGACCATGATCAGTTCATGGTTAGATCAGGCCGCTGGCCCGTCCGATCCGTCGATCCGCCGCGAGAGGGAAAGTCGATCCCACAGCGCTCCTCGCTTTGAGACGGCCCGGGCTTGCTGAGAGACAGGACCAGAATCAAGACTTGGATCGGCTCGGATCAGATGAGTGCCTCTAAGGACGGGACCGCGGGCGCGCCAGCGGCGCCTGCGCCGAAGGCCAAGGCGGCAGCGACAAGTGCGAAGCCTGGGGCCAAGGCCGCCGCTGGCGCTGCTGGGGCGCCCGGCGGTTCCAAGGACGAGACAATCAAGGAGCAGTCACGGCATCACATCCCCCAAGCAGTGCCTCGTATACTAAGGACATTCCCAACACAGCGCTTGCACCACGACGTTCTCATCTCTGCTCTGCAGAACTGTCCCGAGATGCCAGGCTTGGACGGTTTGGGGGCCACTGCCGGTGGGCGGCGTGCTCGGTCCTGGCCGTCGCCGCCACGGGGCTCGGGCCCCTGCCGCTGTTGGCCTGCCGTCGGTGGGGGTCCGAGTCATGCTGCATGGGGCTCCACGCACGCACGCACGAACGCGCGCGCGCGCACGCACGCACGCACGCACGCACGCACGCACGCACGCACGCACGCACGCACGCACGCACGCACGCACGCACGCACGCACGCACACACACACACACACACACACACACACTAACTAACTAACTAACTATGGTGCACGTGGCCGTGTTCTCACCCTGTAGCCGACCTTCTCTTCCTCGACCCGCCTCTTCACTTCTGCTGCTATGTGAATGGCCTGCTGGGGTAATGACACGGCCAGGTCTCGAGGGTCTGGCCAGCCTTTTGCCGGCGGTGGAAGAACCTGGGGGGCAGAAGGGGGCATGAAGAGAGCGCGCCGTGCCGCGGTGAAACTGCGGTGCCGCCAGGCGCGTTGGGGCTCCACGCACGTGCGGATCCGCATACGGAGGGCTCCAACCTCAAAGCACTCGATGGGCCCTACACACTGGGCTCGACCTGCAGGGAGGGATTCACACACACAGTTTCTTGTCGCGGTTGCGCGCGCGGCGGCGCGGCATAGAACAAGTCAAGCGAGCGCTCGCACCGGCTCGGCTCGCGCAGCGAGGAGAAGTTGGATCTGCCCACAGGGGGTGAACAGCAACACTCACGTGGGGCTGCTCACACGTGAGGGGGCTCCATACCTGGGGGGATCCACGCACACACGGAGGGCTCCTGAGTGAGTGTTCCACACAGGAGTCTCCACGCCGTGGGTTTCACACATTGGGCTCCACCGAAAATGAGTCGCAAGTAGGCTACCGCCCGTGGAGTTCCACACATAGTGCGCTCCGCACACGTGCAGAGTTCCACACCAGTAGGTTTTGCGCACACTAGGTTTCGCACACATTGGGTTCCACAGGCATTGCGTTCCACAAACAGGTTCCACACATTCGGTTCCACCCAAAACGTTCCAGGCGAATTGGGACAGACGCGAAGATTGTGCACTTCACAAGGAATCGTAGCCTCAGGGACGCGACTATTATTTCATGTGCAAGTGTAAGTGCAAGGGATCGTGTTCTCGGGGACGCGACAGTTGCATAGTATACGAAAGGTCGGGGCCTCGGGGACGCGAATACTTCGTCATTTACGAGGGATCGTGGCTCCGGGGACGCGAATACGGCTTGACTTACAAAGGATCTAGCGTTATTTCAATTAAATCGTAACCTTGGGGACGCGAGCATGGCGTAATTAATCCGGGGAGTTTCTCGATAAAAACCCTTATTGTAGACCTACGAAGCATCGTAATCTCGGGGACGCGACCAGCGTGTGATTTACGAGGGATCGTGGCCTCGGGGTCGCAAACATTGCGTAATGTATTAGACATCGCGGCCTCGGGGACGTGAACATGGCATAATTCACACCTGATGGTGGCCTCTGGAACGCGAACATGGAGTGATTTGCGCGGGATCGTGGCCACAGTGACCTGAACATAGCGTATGTTACGCAACATCGTGGCTTCGGGAACACGGATATTGTTTGAATTGCAGTGCATCGTGACCTCGGAAACGCGAATATCGTGTAATTCACTAGGGATCGTGGAATTGGGGACCCGAATCTTATCATTTACCATGGATCGTGGCCTCTGGGACGCGAATATGGCGTCGTTGAAAATAATCGTTTCCTCGGGGACGCGAATATGGCGTTATTTACAAGGGATCGTTGCCTCGGAGCCGCGAGCATGGAGCAATTTACGATGGATCGTGGCCTCGGGGACTGGAATATCTTGCAACTCGCGAGGGGTCGTGGCCTCGGGGGCGCGACTCCTCTGTAATTGTCTGTGTCCCAGGTCCCCCAGGAATTGAGGCGACGCGATCTGGGGGTGCTGGACAGCTGGTTTGCGGCTCTCCCCCCTCGCGCGGTTAGCAATCGTTTGCAGTAGCAGGTAGACAGTAGGACTACACCGTGGGAGACTTGACGCTGCCTGAGCCACGCAACCTGATGGCCCCACGAGGCGGCCGGCGGATGTCCACACGCTGGTGCTCCCATGTTACATGATGTGCACCGACCGGGTGCGGGCTTCAACAATCTGGTGCCAGGTGGCGTGGCCGCCCTCGCTTGTGCCGCCCCGGTGGCACGGCTCGCCCCGCCTCATCTCCGCCGCGCGCCCCACCAGCGCCGCCCAGGGCGGCCTCTGGCAGTGCGCGCCCGCGGGCGCTGCCTCGGCTCTGCCGGGCCTCGGCCCCGGCGGCCTTCGCTGCCGGGCGTGCCCGCGCCCGGCCATTTCCTGCGCCGCGCGCCCTGCCAGCTGTGTTGCCTGCACTGGCTGGGCCAGCCGACGCCCATCGCCCATGCCCAGCTGCTCCCGCCTCGGGGCAGCCTCGCCCTGCCAGGCCTGCGGCCAGGCGCTCCCGACGCTCCCGGCTGTGGTTCGTGTGCCGGCCAGGACCGCCCCCGATTCCGGGCTTGGCCTCGGAGGAGGAGGAGGAGGAGGAGGAGGAGGAGGAGGAGGAGGAGGAGGAGGAGCAGGAGGGGGAGGGGGGAGGGGAGAGAGAGAGGAGGAGGAGGAGGAGGAGGAGGAGGAGGAGGAGGAGCAGGAGGAGCAGGAGGAGCAGGAGGACTCCTCCTGCCCCCGGCCTGGCCGCCGCTGCCAGCCTCTGGCGACGTGCGCTGGCTCCTGTGCAGTTGGCTCCCTCGGCAGCCTCGTGCCTCCCCGCGGACCGCGGCCCCGCGACCTGCCGCAGCCTTGCAGCCCGGCCTCAGCAGGTCAGCTCTGGGGCTCGCTGGCCAGCCCCACAGTCCTGGCCTCTCGCACTCAGGAGGGGCAAGAACATACAGACGCCATGAAGCGTCGACTCCCTGGCGAAAGTCCAGAAAAGACATAGGGAAGGCGAGAGTTCCAGAACAAATATAGGGGGAAAGCTGGGGGACTCCTGGGATCTGTGTCTACTTGTCTGCGTGTCCCTGGGCCCCTCGCACCACGCAGCCGCTCTGCCCTGGAACACCTGGCAGCACGGCCCTCTCGACGAAGACTCTGGTGCCGTCACCTTGCGTTCGCCTCTGCCCCCGCACTGGTCGGCTTGCTGCACGCCTCCAGCGCCTGCCGCCTTTGCCGCAGCCCCTGGGCGTGGGCGCGATGCCGCTCCACGTCCACTGCCAGGGCGCCCCAGCAACGGCCAGCCGCACCGGCCGCTCACGCCAAAGTTCTTCGTTCGGGTATAGCCAGGACACCAGGTAAGGGGACCCGGTACCCAGAGCCCCTAAATCGGCCAGAATCACTAAGCCAGGTCTGCCGCAACTTGTGTTTGTTCGGGTGACGGCAGTTCGGGTCAGTGGAACGGGGCGGGGGGGACGTCCCCCAGTGCACGTCACTAAACCAGGTCGCGCTAAACCCAGTTCTGCCAACGCCCTCCTCCTTTCCCCGGCCCCTCGGCCGCCCTCCGCCCCGTTTCTTGCTCTTGCTGCCGGACAATCAGTACGCTCTGCCCCAGCTGCCAGATCGCGCGAGCGGATCGGCTCTGCCGCGCCGCGGGGGAAAACGAGCTTGCACATATGATTTCACACATCGGCCCAATTATGTGCATGGGGTTTTCCACCTACGGGTACTCACACAGGGTTGGACATACAACCTTGGCTTCCCGCGCAGCGCATGGGGCTCCACACCCACGTAGGGCGATCGACCTCGATGCAGGGTTTACGTCTGTGTGTTATACACGCGCCGCCAACGTTGTTTGACATGGTTACGCGCGCGTGTAAAACAATGAAACGCGGTGGTTATGCATCCACTAAGGACGCGGTAAGTACGGAGCTAGCAAGAACATGCAGCGACATATCAGAGTGAGGGGACCGAAGGGTCATTCATTGTCCCTGGGTGCGTGGCTGAATAAGGAACTCGTGGTGAGAATTATGTGTGTTGCGTTGTTGTTGTTGTTGTTGTTGTGGTTGTTGGTGTTGGTTGTTGTTGTTGCTGTTGTTGCTGTTGTTGTTGGTGTTGTTGTTGCTGGTGTTGTTATTGTTGTTGGTGTTGTTATTGTTGTTGGTGTTGTTGTTGGTGTTGTTGTTGTGGTTGTTGTTGTTGTTGTTGTTGTTGTTGTTGTTGTTGTTGTTGTTATTGTTCTTGTTATTGTTCTTGTTATTGTTGTTGTTGTTGTTGCTGCTGCTGCTGCTGTTGTTGTTGTTGTTGAACATTATTTATTCTAAAGAATAAGTATTGTTGGGACCCCTGGTGCGCGGCCCCCTCGCCGCGCCTAGGCCGCAGCCACATTTTCATCATTTTCGTGAGGAAGTCTCAGGCAAAACGTGGGTGTCCGGATCCGGTTGTTTTGTTGTCCCCCGTTTTCCCTTGCAAAAAATAAGCTAAAGTGGACATTTCTTGTTCTAACATAACCAAACTTCAAGAATCCCTTGCAAAAAATAAGGTAAAGTGGACATTCGCGCGCGCAAGACGAAATCCTTCCAAAACCTTAGTGTTCGTAGCGATTTTAACATAAAAACATCAAAAAACCAATGGTTTTTCAAAAAAAAAATGTCAAAATTTCATCCCGCGCGCTCTTGCGGATTCGTAGGAAACCCAACACTTTTTAAACATTTCTGTCAAACGGGCTTTTGCGAGCAACTTTTTCGAACTTCTGCAACAACGGTTGCGCACCTGCCAGGGCCATCATCCCTGTCAAATAATACCATGCGGGACACATTCGTTTTTTCTTCGCGCGCGCACGCCGTCGTCGTCGGCCGCGGGGCCCTGAATAGTAGCCACGGTCGTCCGCATGCCACGAAGTGAAGTGTCCGAACGTCATAGGGCGGGAAGCTGGGTGTGGGTGGTGGCGAAGAGTCGTTTGGAAATTTGGTAGAGCTTGAACCGGCCCCCCCACAAAGTGGGGGTATTGCCCGCCTCCTATGAAAACCCTGGCACTGGTGAGAACGGAGTGTCCCCACGTGCTAGTAATTGTTGTTGTTGTTGTTGTTGTTGTTCGTTGTCGTCGTCGTCCCATCCGCGACCCACCCGCGACCCACCCCGCGACCCGCTCCGCGACCCACCCCGCGACCCACCCCGCGACCCACCCGCGACCCACCCCGCGACCCACCCCGCGACCCACCTGCGACCCACCCCGCGACCCACCCACGACCCACCCGCGACCCACCCGCGACCCACCCCGCGACCCGCGACCCATCTCGCGACCCATCCGCGACCCATCTGCGACCCACCCGCGACCCACCCCGCGACCCACCCGCGACCTACCCCGCGACCCACCCTCAAGGGAGGAAAAAACACCCGGACGCGAACATTGACTTTTACAAAATGGCCTTGGCCTTGACTAAACAGCCCTGCCCTGCTCGATTCATTCCTTGTGCGTTTACTAGACGGCTTCGCTTGTCGGGGTGATTATTATGTGGTGGATTTTCTGCCCTCTACACCCGCGACCCAACAGCGACCCACCCGCGACCCACCCGCGACCCATTTGCGACACACCCGTGACCCACCCGCGACCTACCCACATTGGTTTAACTAAAATATCGGCGCCTGCGGGGGGCTCGTTTCATAAATTGTGAAACTTTCGCGCTTACGGCGGGCTTCTCCAGAGTCTCGCAAACTGCCGACGTCCCCACCGCCCCCTCACTTTTATCCGCATCTGCGGGGCGCTACGTATTTACTCTTTTCTCTTCCCACTGCCGCTCCTCCTCCTCCTCCTGAGTTCCACGACCGTTTCTTCCTGCCCCCCCTCCCGCAGACTCTCCCGCGGTCGCGACTTCGGACAAAAACTTTCTGGAGAAGTGGATCGACGAGGACCTGGCGCCTGGCGGCAGGTGCCGCGGCAAGCAGCAGCAGCAGCAGCAGCAGGAGGAGAAGCCCTTTCATAAGGATTACTACTCGCTTCGCTCATTCCGCCAGCCCATTTCGTTACTGTGGTTGCGCGGTGGCGTGCTCGTGCTCAGGGGGGACGGTAGGGCAGGCAGGACGGTCTTCGAGGAGATCTTTGGAGATGTGGTTCGCACCCTGTCTAAGAGAGCCGATAGACTGCCCCAGAGGACACCAAGGTGGCTTAAGAGAGCTCCAGCAGAGTTTCGAGACGCACATGGGCTGTGGGTCAAAGTCCTCATGGATGCTTGTTGGGGTCTTCTCGGAAGGAGCCTCTGGGGAGCAGTTTTGAAGCCTCTGGGGAGCCTCTTGGGGGCTTCTTGGGTGCCTCATGGGGCTTCCTGGGGGCCTCTTGGGAATATGGGGAGCTTCTTTTGGTGCCTATTGGGGGCCTCTTGTGGCTTCTTGGGGGTCTCCGGGGGCTTCCTGGGCGCCTCTTGGGGCCGAGAGCTCGGATGTCTGTCCGTGTTTCCCCTCGGGGCTCCTTCTTGGGGCTATCCTGGGGCCGTCTTGCAGGTCTTTTGGGCCGTCTGGGGGCCATCTTGGGCCATTTGGGGGCCCCCGTGGAGGCTTTTTGGACCGTCTTGGAGCGATATTGGGGCCTCGTGGGCCGTCCAGGCTGGTCGGCAGCTCGAAAAGGCGGTACCGCCAAAATCGTCCGAAAACCCATGCAAAATCAATGATTGTTGCGTCTACGCGCCCTTTCGAAGCCCTCTTGGAACCCTCCTGGAGCGTCTTGGGCGCTTCTTGGGCCGTCTTGGGACCAACCTGGGCCATCTTGGAACGCTCTTGGCCTGAGGCCGTGGGGCGTGCCATCCTTTTGGCGCCTCCTTGGGGCACTCGGGAGGCCCCCGAGGCCGCGCCCGGAAGTTCCGGCATCTCTGGCCCGGCCTTGCCGCGATTTTGCCGGGGCTTTGCCGGGACCTTGCCGGGGACTTGCTGGGACCTTGCTTGGGACTTGCTGGGGCCTTGCCGGGGTGCTTTTCGTCTGGGGGCCCCCAGGGGCCGCCACGTGCGTGCGAACTCGAAACATGCTTAAGCTCTTAAGCTCTTACTGGAGATTTCAGCGCGCCTCTGGCCCGTTGGGCCGGCGAATTCCTTCTCCGCCTCATCCCCCTCCTCCCGCAGAGGGAGGTGGAGAGTCTCCAGTTTTTTTTTTTTGTCCCACCCCCTCAACCTATCTGTGCCCTCCTTCTCTTCCTCGCCAACGCTATGTCTCCCGTCAATCTCTACCTCTCCCGACGTGTCCTCCAATTTCTCTTCCCATGCCCCGCGGAAAGAGCGCGTCTCCCCGCGGCAGGTGTCACGGCAAGAAAGTTATTACCAGGTTCCCGCCAGAGCCGAATGGGTATTTGCACATTGGCCACGCGAAGTCGATTCTGACAAATTTTGGGCTCGCGCAGAAGTACGACGGACAGTGCAACCTGAGGTTTGACGATACCAACCCGGAGACGGAGGAGACGGAGTACGTCGAGTCCATCAAGGATGACGTGTGTTGGATCGCGCAGGCACTCAACCTCGAGCAGTGCAAGAATGGCGGCAAGCCGTGGCGTGACTCTCTGTTCTTCGCCAGCGATTATTTCGACCAGATGCACGCGTTCGCCATCGATCTCATCAAGGCAGGGAAGGCGTACGTGGACTCCCAGTCGCCCGAGGACGTGCAGAAGAACAGAGGTGGGGGCCCTGAGAACAAGCCTGGCATAGACTCGCCATTCAGAAACAGGACCGCGGAGATGCAGATCTCCCTCCCTCCATCCCTTCCCTCCGTCACTGCATCCCTCCTCCACCCCTCATTCCGTCCTTGTCTTCGTTACCTCCCTCCGCACCCCTGTCTCCGTCACCTCCTAACCACTTCCCCTCCCCGTCCCGCCACTCCGTGACAGGACTGTGGAGGAGAATTTGCGGCTCTTTGCGGAGATGCAGGAGGGCAAACACGCCGAGGGGTCCCTTTTGTTGAGGGCGAAGATCGACATGACGCACCCCAACATGAACTTGAGGTGGAGAGCAAACACGGAGTGCACCCACCTTGCCTTCCTCTCTCTCCCTCCTCGTCCCCGGCGCCCCCCTCATTCTGACCCGCCTCCTCGTCCCCCTCCTCCACACTCATACCCCGTCTTCCTACAGACGATGCCACTAACTAATGAGGAGGTGCTCTTGCAGGAAGCGCCCCCTGGGGATCTCTCGACTTGAGTCTCAGTCCGCCGCGGCTCAGAGAGCTGGGAAGACTGACCAAGAGAAAGACAGACAGACAGACAGGCAGACAGACAGACAGACTGACAGACAGCGAGAGACAGACAGACACAGAACAGCGAGCTCGTCGCAGGGAAAATGCGAGCCCTCCAGTTCGGACTTGGTTTGCAGGTGTTGCTTGCTGCGTTCGTTGCGAAGCTCGGTTCGTTCATTTCGCCAACCGTCTTCCTCCACATGCTCCTTACCCTCTCACCCTGCCCCTCCCCCGCCTCCTCCTCCTCCTCCTCCTCCTCCTCCTCCTCCTCCTCCTCCTCCTCCTCCTCCCCCGCCTCCTCCTCCTCCTCCTCCTCCTCCTCCTCCTCCTACTGCTGTCCATCGCCACTCCTCCCTGCCAGGAGGGTCGGCTGGGTGCACACTGTGTTTGCTTCCCGTTAGGGACCCGCCCATGTACAGGATCCGATTTGCCAAACATCACCGGACTGGTGACAAGTGGAAGATCTATCCGATCTACGACTTTGCTCACGGAAACGAGGACGCCATCCAGGAGGAGGAGGTGGAGGTAGGTGGGGACGGAGGGAGGATGACGATGCGGCTGGAAGGGGGGGAGATGGAATGAGATATGATGGGGGAGAACGAGGACGCCATCGAGGGCGTCACGCACTCGATCTGTACGCTGGAGTTTGAAAACCACCGCGCCCTGTACGATTGGTTCATCGACAACACGTCGATCATCCCCAGCAAGCCAATGCAGAAAGAGTTCTCCCGCCTTGAGGTTGAGGGCGCCGTCACTTCGAAGAGGTTCTCTCCTTGGCTCTCGCTCTTTTCCCCTCCAAATGCGCCCCTTGTCCGATCCTATCCTTCCTCCCTCCCTCCGTCATCCCCTCATCCATCTCTTTTCCACCATTCCGTTGGTCGTTTCCCTTTCTCTCCCCTCTCCTTCCCCCTCCCACTTATTCCTTCTCCCTTGTCCTTCTCCCTCCTACTTCCTTCCTCCCCCTCCTCGTCCTCGGAACGACTTCGCCGTCGTCCTTCCGCCCTTCCCCGCCCGCGTTCCTCGCCCCTCACACGCCCCGAGGAAGCTGCTGAGGCTCGTGAAGGAGAAGAAGGTCACGGGCGATTTGTCGCCCCCAATCCAAGAGTTCCCCCCCTGATATTGGTCGCCCAGAAAAGAATGGAAACTCCATATCGAGGACACACCCCATATCGAGGACAGACAAGCAAGGACATTGGCAGCCTGGGAAAACGACGCCCTTTTTGGCAAAGTCAGATTTGGTCTTCCGGCGGTTGGTTGCGCTGCAGGATTCGGGTTTGTGTCGGGGTTTGGGGGAGAGTTTGAAGGCCTGCGGGGCCTTTGTCTGGGCTAATTCTGGGAATGTTGCAGTGCAGTTTTTTTTTCCGTGCCGCCGTTTGGACATATCTGTTCTCGAGGGGTGGTGTGGATGTTCTGGTCTAGCGCGTCCAGGTTTAAGAAGCCCTGAGGATGGACTATAGCCAGCAAGTGTGGAAGACAATCGCCAGAAGACACGCCTTCTTCTGAGCTGTCCTTGCTTTCCTGCGCCGTGGTCTGGACGTGCGCCTCCAGCCGCCGGCACTTCTTCAGCCGATGTGTCGTGCAGACGCGGCGTTGTGGATCGATTCATTGATTGAGGACGGACGCACCCCACTGCATATTCCCGAGTTGGGTTTCACTTTGCGAGCCCAGTCGAACGCCTGGCAAAGTCCCGGAGCGGGTTCAACCTACGGCTGGTTGTTGTTCGGCCGGCGTGTCGCTCGACGGCTCTGGCCCACCACGCTATGGAGCGACACGCTCTCCACTTCCCCACCCCCTAGCGCACACGTGCCAAGCCTTCCCGAGCATCCCGCCCCGCGGAGCGGCGCGACACGCTATCTGCTCGCAGTGCATCGCGTATTCCCGGGGCCGCTTGCGACGCGGCGACACGCTGTCCAAATGCTCCCGACCGTAGCCCCAAATTGGAAGGTCGAAGGTTGGGACGACCCGCGGCTGCTCACCGTGCGGGGCATCAAGCGGCGCGGCGTGCGGCCGCAGGGGCTGAAGAGGATGTGCGACACGGTCGGCGTGACGGATAGGAGCCGCGGTCTTTAAGGTTCGGCCTCTTGGGGAAGAGACAGGAGGAGGTGGAGGAGAAGCGGGAGGGGGAGATGGAGAAGAGGAGGAGGAGGATGATGCGGGATGGGCAGGGCGATGAGAAGGGAGAGGATCAGTGTAAGCCCAAGACGCATCAGCGGTGTTGCACCCAACCCTTCCTCCAATTTCCCTCCCCATGGGTCCCTACAAGCTTTTCCATTCATTGCGGGAAGTGCCTCATTGGCAGACAACCGTTTGAGAATCGGCAGTCGTGCCAAAACATAATTCTTGGGAATTCACCGCCGCGAGTCAACATGACTCGTGCGTCCTGACAATCCTTGATCGTGCCAGAACACCATCTCTTGGACGTCGCCACAGCAAATCAACATGACTGTTTCGTCGTGACGGTCTTCAATCGTGCAAAGACCATTTCTGGGACTTAACCATACGATGTCCTTGGAACTGCTGTGGTTTGTTAAAACGAATGAGCGCGGCGCTAAGGCGATTGCCACATTTGACAAGACACCGTCCCCCACCCGTTAAACACACCAGTGTCGAATGGATGTTCGTGGCGCAAATGCGACAGCCACTTTGTAAAAAGAAACCGCCATCCTTCCGTTAAACTTCTGCACCCTTTTAATACGATTGAGCGCGGCGCTAAGAAGAGAGTCACAGTTTGAAAACCTCTCGCCCTACATCTGCGAAATTGCTTCACACTTTTACGACTAGTACGCGCGGCGCTACAGCGAAAGCCACACATTGACAATGGCGCGCTGTCCGTTTGCAAGATCGATGCAACGTTTAAGCCTCAGGGTTAGAGCTGGTGAGAAGGTCTCAGGCGCAACGCCCAGCCCGCCGTACCGACATGCGTGGAGGTGCGAAAGGGAGGAGTTCTTTATGAGGGGAAGGTGCGGAGGAGCGGCAGGAGCAGGAGAAGAAGGAGTGGGAGGCGGAGGAGTTGGAGGATGAGAGGGGGAGCAGGGAAGGGTGAAAAGAGGAGGAGGGGGAGCAGGATGAGGAGGAGGACTAGGAGAAGGACGAGGAGGAGGAGGAGGAGGAGGAGGAGGAGGAGAAGAGCATTGAAGCATGGGGAAGGGGAGGGTAGGGAGGAGGAGAGGAGGGGGGGCAGGAGGGGAATGAAAGGGAGGTTGAGCAGAGATGCAGAGGTGAGGAAGAGGGGGTTGCACAGAGATGTGGGGGAGGGGGGGAAGCAGGGTTGGAGGCCGAGAAGGGCCATGACGAGGACGAGGAGCACAAGGAGCAAGATGCAGGGTGACGAAGAGGGATTGGCGGGCGGAGGAGCAGGCGGAGAGGAAAAAACACGCGGAGGAGGAGGAGGAGGAGGAGGAGGTGACCGAGCAACCACGGTGCAGGAAGTGCACCACCCCATGGCAGCTGGTGGAGGAGTGCTTTCGGGAGGACCTCGAGCCAGTGGCCATGCGGCGAATGGCCGTTCTAGAGCCTCTGCTTGTGGAGATAACCACGTACAAAGATCAAGAGATGATCGGCGGCCTCACGGACCTGCCTGAGCAGGACCCGAAGGACCCCGCATGCACGAGGAGCATCAGCTTCTCCTCCACCATCTACATCGACAGCTCCGACTACCAGGAGGATGCGCCAGAGGGCTACTTCAGGCTAAGCAAAATCGGCAGCGAGGTGAAGCTGAGGTACTCGTACTGCATCCAGCTTCAGGAGGTGGTTAAGGATGCGAAGGGGAACATCGTGAAGCTGCGGTGCAGCCACGATCCAGAGACCAGAGACATTATGCCCGCTGACAGGAAGCCCAAGGTCATACACTGGGTTAACGCTGCAGACTGCCTGGATGCCGAGGTGCGGCTAATCAACACGCTGTTCGGCCCGATGCCTGATCCGATCCCCGAAGGGAAGGACTTCATGGATTACTTGAACCCGGAGTCCTGGGTCATCCGCAGCGCGAAGGTGGAAAAGTGCCTCGGCGCCTGCAAGCTGGAGGACCGCTTCCAGTTCGAGCGGTGCGGCTACTTCGCCCCCGACTACGTCTGCTTCGAGGGTCCCCGCAAGCTGACTTTCAACCGGGTGGTGCCGCTGAAGGAGTCCGTGGCCAAGAAGAAGATGGAGGGCACCCACGGGGCGAGCCGTGCCGAGGCCCAGGCCGCGGCGGCGGCCGCGAAGGAGCGAGTCCAGAGGATCCCCCCGGAGGAGTTCTTCAAGACGGAGAGAGGGGACGAATTCTCCGCGTTCGATTCCAACGGCATGCCCACCCATGCCAAAGACGGCACCCCGTTGCCGAAGTCAGCGATCAAGAAGTTGGCGAAGGACCCACAGCTCTTCCTCCCGCTCTTGCTGCCCCTCCATCTCTCTTTCCCCTCCTTCCCCCTACTCCTGCCTCCTCATTGTCCTTCTCCTCGTCCTTCTCATTGACAGGACTTGGAGAAGCATAGCAAAATACACAACGCGTGGAAGGCGACCCAGTGATGGCAGTAGTGCAGTGGCCCCGAGTGCGTCGGTAGACCTGAAGCAGTACACAAACGTAATCACCATCATCAAAGGGCCAAGCCTGTGTGGCGTGTGGGCCCCGGCTTCCTCCCTCGCATTATCTCGCAACTCTGACTCCGGCTAGCTTCCCTTCTCGAGCCATCCCCACCCACTCCCACATCGACTCGAACATTCATTCTCCTTCCTCTCCTCCCCATGTCCCTTTGGGTCCCGCACCGGATTCACTTCGTGTTGTCGGGCCTTTTGCCTTAGATCGGAGGGTTGCCAAGCAGCAGACGTCGGGTGATTTGCACGTGGAGATGGGTGCGAAGAGGAGGGGGCTGCGAACATGCGTCTGCCATGCGTGCAGTCGGCACGTGTCTTCGCCTGTGTAGGCGCAAGGCGCCAAGGCGGAGTACCAAACATGGGGGTGCCATGCCTTCACACGCAAAGTCGGGCGCGCATTTGTACGTGATTAAGCACCAGTGGGGGTATCCAACAGGGGGGCGCTGGATTCTCCACATGTAGAAAATGTGCGGAGGGGGGATGTCGAGCATACATACGTCTGTCACGCGTCCGTTTGGCATGTACCTTCACACGTAGGCGCCCAGGAGGATATCCAACATGGAGGTGCTCCATTCCTAAGTGAATATTAAGCGCTTGGATGGGGGGGGGTCGGACATGCCTCTGGCACGCGTTCATGTGGCACCTGTTTTCACGTGTGTAGGCGTTCGAAGAAAGTCATTGAACATGGGGGCGGTGGATTGTACACGCGTAGAAGTACGTGCGCGGAGGAGGGCTGCCGAACATGTGTCTGGCACGCGTGTAGGCGCCAAGAGGCGCCAGATTTTTTGACACGTGCAAATACGCGCGCGGGCGGGGTCGGGTCGAACATGCGTTTTGCACGCGTGCATCTGGCATGTGTTTCCACGTGTGTAGGCGGCGCCAAGAAGAGTATCCAACATGGGACGCCAGATTCGTCACACGTACAACCATGCGCGCGGGAGGTCTCGAGCAGGCGTCTGCCACGGGTGCATTTGGCACACGCTTTCATATTTCCCAACCATCCTGTGGTGTTGGATCCTCGTTTTGAAGAGACGGCGCCCCGCGTTCCTCACCTCCTCCTCCTCCCCCCCCTCCCTCCTCCCATCATCATCATCATCATCATCATCATCATCATCATCATCATCATCATCATCATCATCACCACCACCGATTTCGGCACACCCCTCACACGCTTCGTGGCCCCATAGGGAGCTCCACCGAAGGCCCCAGTGGCAGGGTCCGCATGCCTCCCCACCACCCATTTCGGCACACCCCTCACACGTTTCGTGGCCCCATAGGGAGCTCCACCGAAGGCCCCAGTGGCAGGGTCCGCATGCCTCCCCACCACCCATTTCGGCACACCCCTCACACGTTTCGTGGCCCCATAGGGAGCTCCACCGAAGGCCCCAGTGTCTCCTCCCCCCAGTTTTGCGGCACACCCCTCACACGTTTCGTGGCCCCATAGGGAGCTCCACCGAAGGCCCCAGTGGCAGGGTCCGCATGCCTCCCCACCACCATTTCGGCACACCCCTCACACGTTTCGTGGCCCCATAGGGAGCTCCACCGAAGGCCCCAGTGGCAGGGTCGCATGCCTCCCCACCACCCATTTCGGCACACCCCTCACACGTTTCGTGGCCCCATAGGGAGCTCCACCGAAGGCCCCAGTGGCAGGGTTCGCATGCCTCCCCACCACCCATTTCGGCACACCCCTCACACGTTTCGTGGCCCCATAGGGAGCTCCACCGAAGGCCCCAGTGGCAGGGTTCGCATGCCTCCCCACCACTCATTTCGGCACACCCCTCACACGTTTCGTGGCCCCATAGGGAGCTCCACCGAAGGCCCCAGTGGCAGGGTCCGCATGCCTCCCCACCACCCATTTCGGCACACCCCTCACACGTTTCGTGGCCCCATAGGGAGCTCCACCGAAGGCCCCAGTGGCAGGGTCCGCATGCCTCCCCACCACCCATTTCGGCACACCCCTCACACGTTTCGTGGCCCCATAGGGAGCTCCACCGAAGGCCCCAGTGGCCTGGTTCGTATGCCTCCCCAACACCCATTTCGGCACATCCCTCACACGTTTCGTGGCCCCATGGGGATTTCCACTGAAGGCCCCAGTGACTGGGTTCGCATGCGCCCCCACACCCATTTCGGCACACCCCTCACACGTTTCGTGGCCCCATAGGGAGCTCCACCGAAGGCCCCAGTGGCTGCGTTCGCATGCCGCCCCCACACCAATTTCGGCACACCCCTCACACGTTTCGTGGCCCCACAGGGAGCTCCACCGAAGGCCCCAGTGGCTGCGTTCGCATGCCGCCCCCACACCAACTTCGGTGCACCCCTCACACGTTTCGTGGCCCCATAAGGAGCTCCACCGAAGGCCCCAGTGGCAACGTTCGCATGCCGCCCCCACACCCATTTCGGCACACCCCTCAAACGGTTCGTGGCCCCATAGGGAGATCCACCGAAGACGGTACTCACACCAGCATTACTCACAACTGCATATGGTTGGGTCCTTCGCCAGGCTAATTTTAGGCGCCAAGAGGGGCACTAATCATGGACCCCCCAGATGCGTCACGTCCAGAAGCCCATGCGCGGAGCAGCGGTGTCGAACATGCGTTTGGCACGCTTGCGTGTTGTGCGTGTTCAAGGTTGTGCAGGCGCGGGTCCCCAACATGGCGTCGCCGATTTGTTCACACGCGAAGGAATGTGCGCGGAAGGCGTGTCGAGCATGCGCTCTGCACGCAGGCATTCCGCGGACGGCTTCGCGCGCGGCTGGGCCTCAGGCGCGCGTTCCACCCGGGGGGCGCCGGAGGCGTCGTGCGTAACAGCACGCGCGCGGCGGCATGGTGGCGACCACGCGAGTGGCACGCGTGCGCTTGGCGTGCGCGCTCCGATGTGCAGGCTCGGCGCCAAGAGGAGATATCCAATAGGGAGGGCCAGGAAGCGAAAATACGCGCGCCGAGGGATGTGTCGAACATGCTTCTGGTATTCGTACGCGTGGCACGACTTTCGCCGCATGTGGACGCCAATGGGAGGCACCCAGCATGGGGCGGCGGATTCCTCATGCGTAAAAAACACGTGCGCGGAGGTGGTGGGTGGTTCGAACAAGAGTTTGGCACGCGTGCGCGTTAGATTTCCACGTGTCTGGGCAACGAAGTGGGTATCCAACATGGAGTCGCCCGATGCTTCGCACGTAGAAGTACGTGCGCCGTGGGGTGTGTCGAATGTGTTTGGCATGCGTGCAGCTGGCACGCGTTTTCATTCATACAGGCGCTAAGGGAGAACAAGCCATGATTATACGAATCGGTTCCGTAACCGTTTTGGCTCAAGTCTCACTTGGACCCCGCGTGGGGTCCAAAGGGGGCCTGAGCGCTGTAGCCTGTCTGGCTCATCAGCGCCTTTCAGGGTGCTCACCAGCAGCCCGCGTCCAGGCTGGTGGACCGACCCCGTTTTCGGCACACTTCATCACGACTCGGATCACTCCAGTCTCTCCCGCTTTCTCAGATATGGGGCGCAAACACCAGACCCGTCATCGCCAACGGGTTCGCAGTAGCAGTACGGGCAGCGACTCCAGGGGTCAAGGCTCTTCTCGCTCGCGTTCGGTGCCGAAGACGCCGGTTGGTGGCATGGAGACGCCGAGCTACTCTTCGCCACCTTTTTTCTACGATTCCTTCGGATGCCAGTTGCAAGTGAGCTGCTCCAGACTGTCCGCGACAGCAGTGCCACCATTGCCAGGATGGAGCAATCGATGCAACAGGACATCATCGAGGTTCGCTCGGCATTGTCCACCCACGACCAGAACGTCCAGCTGATCTCTGCTCGTATGGACAGGCTTGAGAACGGCGGGCTCGCGCCCATGGTCTCGCAGGCAGTCGACCTGGCCGTCTCGGCGAAGATCGAGAACTTTCAGGCGCAGCCCCCTGCCATCGCCCCTCCTCCTGCTCCTCCTGTTCCGAGCTGTGCCGCGAGGTCTGGCCAGCACCAGGCGGCGATGGAGCGATCACACAGGGTCGTGATCATCGGCTTCCCGCGCAAGCTGGTGAAGACTTCGATCGCCAGAGCCGCAGACTTGTTCCTCCAGGCAGGCGCTCCTCTGGCTTCCGCTCACCCCGTCGTCCGAGCATTCGACATGGTGCAGAAGGTGACGCTCGACATTTCGGATTCTCAGAAGGCCAATGACTTCCTCGCCAACCTCGCCCCTAGGCAACCTTTTCGATTTCCATGTCCAGCTCATCCAGGACAGATGATCGAGCTCCGCGCGGAGCGGGACATGGCGCCAGGGGCCCGCTTGCTCTTCCTCGCCACGGGAAGGATCCGCAGCGTCTTGTCGACGGCCACGCGTCCTCTTCAGAGATCGGTTCGGACGGACTTGGGGGCGACACCTTCTCGCTCAGAACTAGTGGGGACCTCGTGCCGTTCTGTCGCCTTCAGCTCCAGCCGCGGGCCTCTCGCCCCACTGTCGAGGTCGAGTTTTGTTAGTGAAAATTCTGCGGGGTTCCATTCTGTTCTCTCGCCGTTGCTTGAGGATTAAAAGCAGGGGGTGGGGCGCCTTAACCGCGGCGCCACCTTTTGAGGAGTTCTTTGGAGAGCCCTCGGCCATGGGCGCAGCGCCTTCTGCTGCGAGCCGCGCCGCTCTATCTGCTGCATCGCATAGAATGCCCTCTCCCCTTCCTGCCCCCCCTCTTCCCCCCTCCCCCCCCCCCCCCCCCCCCCCCTCCCCCTCCTCATCGGCAAATATTAGCACGGTCGGGCCCGTTCCATTTTCCCCATCCCTTCTCTCTCCGCGCGCGCACATGGAACACCAATGCGCTCTTCGCAGCAGTTCGGTCCACGAGTTGCCAGGCCCCTAAGCGGCGCGTTCGCCTTCTTCAAGTGCGCCAAATCGCGTGATGCGATGCGCGGACAAGAGTGCCATGGACAGGTTGCGGATATGAATGAGTTGTCCCGGGGCTACG